GTTAGAGGCCCCTGCCCCCCCCACTCTGTCATCTTGTCCGGTCCGGGACAACGGGGACGGGGACGGGCGCTGTGTTGCTTGCAGGTCAGTGGTCAGCGGTGAGAGCCTGGGGCCTGGGCCGCGCTGGGCCGGCAGGTGCCGCGGGTGCTCTCCAAAGCCGTTTTAAATTTGCTTTTGAGCCCGGGCTGCAGGAGGTCCAGGCGGGAGGGGGGACCCGCTGTGGGCTTGGTGACGGGTCTGGAGGGGGTATGTCCACAGGGAGGGCAAGACTGGCCGAGGACGGGTTTTAGGCGGTCGCTGGCCACCCTGCGCTGCAGGGCCTAGCGCGTCTTCCTGCTGGGAACAGAAGCTGCGAGGTGGACGGGCAGGCCCTGTCCTGGGCTGTCCAGGGCTCCTGACCTCTCGCAGGTGCTCTGGCTGCCGGCCCCGGCCCCTCCCCCTCCGCTCCTGCTCTGGCAGACGGCGCCCGGCTGGCTGTGGCGATCCTGGCAGGTCGCCGGGCCCGGAGTGCGGAGCTGAAGTGGGCCTCGCCCTCCCAGGAGCCTTCTCCCGGCTCTGCCTCACCAGTGTAGACAGGGAACTCTGGCCAGCTTTCCCTCAAATACGAAAAACGAGAGCCAGGCCCTGCGGAAATGGAGTCCTGGCACCGCCACCGCAGGCGGCACAGGGCGGCTGCTTGGGGCCCCTGGAGAGCGGGCCAGACCCCCCGAGCCTCCGCTGCGGGCCGGGCCACGCGCCACGGGGCTCTGGATGTGGGACGCGCGGGGGCGCACCCCGCCTGCACCCGAGAAGTCCTCTTGCTCAGGGTGGCCCTCGGCCAAGGGCCTTCTCCCCCAGGGAAGCACCAGGCCGTGATGGGAAGCTTGCGACCTCCGCTGGGGGGCGGGGGCGGGCTCAGCCGCCCCCACCCCACCCCCGCCCTCGCCCTGAGGGTGCTGGGTGACCTGGCAGGGCCGCAGAGCCCCGGGGGGTCTGACGTGACTAACTCAAGGCCACTCAGGCTGTCACCCGTCCTGGGGCCTCGTGGGTCTGCCAGGAGTCACTGCTGCCCTCCAGGGTCCCGGCGCCCTCCCCCCCTCCCCTGCCTCGGCCTGGCCCAGCCATATAAAGTTTAAAGGTTTTAAATGCAAATATTTCTCTTTTATAGATGCCAGCTGTCTCCAGAGAGCGCCTTCCTCCGCGCGGCTTTATTGTCCAATTAGCTTCCCATATCTGGGTACCGGAGAGCTGGTGGGGGTGGGGAGCGGGCACCCACCCCTCCCAAAGGGGGCCCGCTCCGTTCTCCCGGCTCCCGGGAGGGGAGGCAGGAGCTGGGGCGCTCGGCGGCAGGGGTGTTCTTTTCTTATTTAGAGAAATAAAAGCCGGCAGCCGCCGCTCCCGCCTCCCCTGCAGCCCCTCCCGCCCGCCTCCCAGCCGCACGGCGGCGGCGGCCCCTTTCACCGGGGCTCCTCGGCGCTCACAAAGCGAGGCAATTAGAATTGAAAATCTATGCAAAACAGCTGTTAACTGATTGTTAGGAGTGCAGCTGTGCGCGGGGCGCGAGTGGTGCCGAGGGCAGGAAGTGCCGGGGCGGCCCGGGGCCAGCGGGGGCCCTGGAGCTGACCTTGGCCGCGGTCGGCTGCCGAGCCCTGAGCCCCTGCCCGGGAGGGGCAGGCGGGCAGACCGGGCTGCTTGCCTGGGGGTCGAGGCCTAACACGCAGCTTGCCTGGGCGCCCGTCCCTGGGCCCCCGCGGGGGGCCCTGGGAGGTGGCACCCCGCCCCTCCCCCCTCCGTGTGCTGCTCTCTGCGGGTGGGACGTGGCGCCTGGAGACACGAATTCCACCGCGGAGGGGAAGGGAGAAGCCTTCTTGGGAGAGATAAGATGTATTTGGGCTTTGAAGAGTGGGCTGGATTTTCTGTGCCAGTGATGGCGAGGCAGGAGAGCAGGGGTGGAGGAGGGCGCGCTGTGACCTCCGTGGAAGGCGTGGCGGGAGGGGCTGGGCAGCCCCGGTCTGCCCCCCCAGCCCTTATCTCCCTGGATTTAGTGCCCTGTGGGTGGCGGCTGTGGGGTGGGTGGACACCGGGTGCCCAGCTCTGGGGAATGGGTGCTGTCAGATGAGAGCCAGTGTGCCCCCGCCCACAGCTGTGACCCCCAGAAGAGGCCCCACGGAGGCCCCCAGGACGGGGACAGGTGTGCGGTCGGAACCGGGGTGACGGTGGCAGGGACCGGAAGACAAGCGCAGGCTGGTGTGTCCTGCGCAGGGGGAGGTCCCTGGCTCCCTGCCGGGGTGGGGCACAGGGGGCACAGGGGTCTGGGATGCAGGGGAGCGTCCCTAGGGCTCAGGGCCGGCGCAGGGGAGCGTCCCCCTGCCCACCCTCAAGCCCAGGGCTGCAGGCGAAGGTGACACAGCCCGTCGTGCCCGAGGGCCCTGGGAGGCACCTTCCTGTGCTGGTGACGTGGTGCCGCCGCGGCCGCCGCCGCCCTGGGTGACTGTCCCCTGCCCTTGCTCGGCGCGCAGGGAGGGAGGGTGTGGGATTTTCAGTTTTGTTTCTGGGAAGGCGCTTCGCTTGTGAAACAGAGCCCGAGGCATGCTGTGTTTGTTGAGTGACTAAACGCCCACCTGTCTCAGTCAGAAGCAGCTGGTTCCGGCAGATCCTCTCAGGGCCCTTCTGTGCCGAGCTCAGCGCAGGCCAGAGGGGGCTTTTCCATCCCTGGGTGGTGCAGGTCCCCAGGGCACGTGGAGGGGGGGCTGCAGGCTGCTGGGCTGGGGAAGGGCAGGGGCGGTGCGGGAGGTGCGGGAGCAGTGCAGAGCGTCCCCTCCGGGGCCCAGAGGCCGCCCAGGGCCGCCTCCTGGCCTGGGGGAGCCCCTGCAGCCCTGGCCCCGCCCGGCACCTTGCAGCGGTGACCCCCTCCCCTGTCACTGCCTGGGGTGGGGGAGGGCCTGCCTCCGGGCCCCGGACTCGAGCGACAGCCCTCGTTAGCTCGGGGCAGGCCGGCTGCAGGAGAGCAGTGCCCACCCGTGACCCTCCGAGATGACAGATGTCCTGGGGCGGGCGCAGGGACAGCCCGTGTCATCCATCTCCCCGCCTGCCCGCCTGGTGGCCCTGGCACACGTAGCCGGCTCGCCGCTGCCCCCTGGTGGTGGCCGGCGTGTCCTGCACCTCCCCGCCGACTGGCCAGGAAGACTCCAGGTGTGGGCATTTGGGGCTGGCGGTTCACCTGTGCGCAGGTGACCCTGAACGCCCAGGGGGCTGGGACACGCGTCTTGCGATCCAGCGGGGCCAGATGTGTCTGCGGGAGGGATCGGCCAGGCCGGCTCTCCCTGTCAGCCAGGTGCTGCGCCCAGTGGCCAGCCCATCTGTGGCCCCAACCTGCTCAGGCAGGTGCAGCAGTGGACCGCTCCGGGCCCCCCTCGCCCGGGGGCCTCCCCCAGAAGCGAAGGCAGACTGTGACATCTCGGCTGGGCAGCTAACCGCAGGCGGGGCCGAGTGGCCTTACCTGGGAAACCTGGCTGGGAGACAGGTCCCGGCCAGGTGCGAGGAGCTCATTTGCATGTTACTCCCCTCCCCCTGCAGCCTGTAATCCAGGTGGGAAAGGGGTTGGGCTTGCCCCGAAGGTTTTTCATTTTCTTTTTACAGCTCCAGGCCAGTTTCTTTCTCTCCCGACACCTTCCTGGCTCCTCTCCCCCCTCCCCCAGCTCGTGACTCCCGGCGGGGGTGGAGGCGGCGCTGCCCGCCCTCCCGCGTGGCCGGTGCGGGGTGCGGGGTTCCGAGGCCGCCGAGCGCTGCGCCGGCTGAGCGTCCGGCCTGGCCCGGGCCCGCGGAGGCGGCGCGGCGGGTCAGGAGACGAGGCCGCCCCGTGCCCGCAGGTAGGAGCCGCTAACGGCCCGGCCCGGCCCGGCCCGGCCCGGCCCGGCCGGCGCGTTTCCCTTTCCGTTTGCGGGCGGCCGGGAGCCTCGTGCGCCCACCGCCGGGGCCCCCAGCGAGCGCCGGGCGGGCGCGCGCGCGCGCACGCGCGGCCCGGGGGCGTCCGCGGGCTCAGGCCCGCCCGCGTCACCGGGAACAGATGGACGGGGGGTGGCCGGCGCCCAGCGCGCGCTCCCGCCGCAGCCCGGGCTGGCGCGGGGCGGGGGAGGCGGGGACGGCCGCGTGCGCGCCCGCAGGTCCCGGGCAGGCTCGGGGCTGGCCGCGGGGGCCGAAAGTTGAAACCCGCAGCCCGGCGCGGGAGGAGGGGTGCGCTCTTTGCCACCGGCTCTCCGAAGTAGTAAGGCGCGGGGTTAGAGAGGGGGTCGCCGGCACGGGGCGGGGGAGGGGGCCGGGGGCGCGCCCTTTGACCTCGCGCTTCCTGGAGCGGCGCGGGTGGGGGCGGGGCGAGCCGGGGCGGGCGCCTGGGGCCCGCAGTCCCCGTCGGTGCCGCCTGTGGGTGCCCAGGAATTTCGGACGCCGCCTGAGTCATCCCCGCCGAGTGCCTGGGTGAGGCGGGGTGCGGAGGGGGCGCTGGCGGTGGGAGGCGCCGCGCCGGGGCCGGTGGCCCAGTGGGTCGTGCCCGCTTCTGGAGGCGGGCGGCCTCGCCGCTGACCGCAGCCCCAGCTACTTAATGACCCCCCTGGCGGAGTGGCGCCGCGGCGGACTCGCCAGCTCCCGACACCACGCCTGCGCGCGCCGTGGCCTCCCCAAAAGTTACTTAGGAGGGAGGCGGGAGGGGGCTTTCTAGAACTCGGGGGCCGAGGCGGCCTTGGGGGTGACGCGGGTCGGGAGCCCTGTTTTGTGCCCCCGCCCCCGGGGCTGCCGGGTGCCAGGCGCTGGGGCAGCGGCGACGGGACCTGGAGGGGCCCTGCTCGCGCGGCGCGCGCCTTGTGAGTCCGGGGGCCGCCGCCGCCGCCCGCCAGGGTCTCCGCGACCCCCCACCCGCCGCCGCCGCCCCGGCCTGTCCTCGGCTCACCTGGCCGGCCGGCCGGCCGCGGCGGGGGAGGGGCGGCCGTGCGCCCGCGGTGTCCCCGGCGCCGTCGGTGCGCGCGCGTGCGTGCGTGTTTGCGGCTGAAACCCGACACCTCCCGCCGGCCGAGGTCAGGGCGCCGCGGGCGAGCCGGGGCCGGGAGTGGGCGGCGCTGCGCCTGGGTGTGTCCGCGGCGACAGCAGCAGGTGTTTCTTGGCCGGGGCCCCGGAAGCTCCACCTCCCCGCGGGCCCGGGCGGCCGCCGCCGAGCAGCCCCGGGTGAGATAAGCAGTTTAGACAAACACTGGGCGACGGCGGCTCCAGCATGCGTCGGGCGAGGCGGCGCTGCGGGGCCCGGGCATGAAAGGTGAGCGCGCCGCGGGGGCGGGGGGCCTCGGCCCGGGGCGCGGGGCCCGCGGGGGGGGCCGCCAACGGCTCGCGGGCAACTTCCCCCGAGTGCGAGCCGCGATAAGGGCCGGGAGGGCGGGCTGGCGGCGGGCGGCCGCCCCTCCCCCTGCGCGCCGCTCGCCGCCCGGGCGGGCCGAGAGCGCGCCGGCTGGAGGGGCAGAGCGGGGGCGCCTCCGGGGGCGCCGGGGAGCTGGGACGAAAACTTTGCGGCGGGGCGGGCGGGGCGGGGGGAGCGCGGGGGCGGCTGTGCGTCCCCGCGGCAGGTGCTGGCGGCGGCGGGGCCCCGCGGTCCGGGTGTTTTTTTTTTTTTTTTGTCTGGCTCCCCTCCCCCTCCGCCTCCCGGGTCTCTGACCCCCGCGCCCTGCCTCCCAGAGGAGGGCGCCCCGAGGCTCCCCCCCCCCCACCGAAGATGGCTGCCCCGGCCCGGGAGGTGGCAGGGCGCCTGCACATCCGCCGCCCCCCGGCCGCGCGGCCCTTCCTGCTCCGCCTGGATGCGCCTCCCCGCCCCCAGCCCTCGGGGCCGGCCGCGCTGACGGGCGCTGAGTGGCCCGACCGAGTGGAGCCGATTCAATTATATTGCAGCTCCAGAGACACCTCGCCGCCCGCCCGCCTCTCCAGCGGGCTAATTAAATTCCCTCGGCGGGGGCGGGGCCGGAGCCGGGTTCGCCCTGCCCCGCCCGCACCCCCAGCGCCGGGGGTGGGGGCGGTGGGGGCCGGCCCCGCAGAGTGCCGCGGAGCGAGGAGGGGGGCGCGGCAGGCGCTGGCCGTGCGCCCCCGGCCCGTGGCGGCGGTGGGGAGGCTCGGCTGGCTGGCGCTGGGGTTCCGAGTTTGGGGGAGGGGTCCAGTCCTCCCACCTGGGCTGGGCCTGCGAGGGCCGTCTGCGGGGTCCTGGGCCCTGCCTGACCCGCGGAGGGGCCCACACAGGCCGGGGTCAGGGAACAAAAAGCCACCGAATGCGAGCAGGGGTCCTTTTGTGGAAGGCGCTGGAACAAAGGCGCAGCCCCCGAGCGGGGAGCATCTCCCAGGCTGACTTCCCGCGGGCGGGGGGCTCGGTGGGGGGCGGCATGCGCCCCCCCGCGCTGTCCTTGCGCCCCCTGCCTGCGCCCCGACCCGAGGCCCAGGCTGCCCCTGACTCAGCCCCAGCCACAGGTGAGCGGCCCGGGGCGCAGGCCCCGGCTGGCAGCCGTGCGTCATCCCGCGGCCAAGTGCAGCCGCCGGAGGCCTGCTCCGCGCCAGGCCGCCTGACCCCGGGGCCCTGTGGCCGCTGCGTGGGGCTCGGTTCTGCCCTGCTGTCTGGCGGCTGGTCGGATGCGGAACCCAGGAGCGGAAGGGGGGAAGCTGGAGCCGGCCGCACTTGCACCGCTGCAGCCCAGCCCCGGGAGGCCTGGCCGGCCGCTCTGAGGCTGGGGCTGTCGGCGGGGAGGGGTTTGTAGCTCCCCTAACTTGGTGTTTTAGAATGGCTGGTGCTGGGGCCTTCCCAGGCCACAGCCGCGAAGCCACAAGCTCTGGGCTCCAGGCCCAGGGCGCGTTCCCAGCTCTCCAAAGGATGGCAGCCCTGAGATGGCACCGGCTGCGGTGCGTGGGGACACGGCGCGGCCTCCAGTGGCCGCGTCCCCGCTGCTGTGAGGAACTTCCCCGGCGCTGGGGAAGTTGGAGGCCACAGCTCCCAGAGCTGTGTGGACAGGAAGCTGAGCTGCCCAGCATCTGGTCAGCCCGCAGAGCGGGCCTGCACAGCGCCACTCTGTGGCGGCCCTGGCTCCTGCACCTCAGGACTGCGGGGTCCCTGGCTCCCTCCCGCCAGGCAGGTGCAGTCCGGCGTCCCCTGGCCTGAGATGAGAGGGAGGCCCGGCCCCTCACAGGCAGGTGTCCTGGAGGAAGCCAGGTGAGCAGGAGCTGGCAGTGACCCCCTCCTTGCCCCCAGGAACCCCAGGGGCTCGTGCACACAGCTAGCGAGGCCGGTTTTTCCTGGCACCGTCTGGAGCCGTGGAATTCCCAGTCTGGGTTACTCGAAGTCCGGGGCCTGGTGGGGTCGGGTGGGACTCCTCCCCGGGAAGCGTGTTAATTACTTGTGTGTGGCAGCGGCGGCGGGCTCCAAACCGCAGGGGTGCGCGAGGCCTGTCCTGTGTGCCAGTGCCGCTCTAACCTGCACTCAGCCACGCGCCAGCCGGCTTCCTGTCATTCTCCCCCCGTGGGGTCTCAGATCACGGTGGCCTCGCTGCGTGTGGCAGAGGCCTCCCAGCCGCCAGCTCCACTTCCCGGCGCTGGCCGAGGCCACGGCCCGGAGGGGGCGACGGTTGCGAGTGTTCCTGTCAATGAGAATTTATCGAACGCCCGCTCTGAATCCAGCCGCGCGCTCACTGCCGGGAGGTGTAGAGACAGATCAAACAGGAGCGCGGCCAGAAGCGGCCTTTTACGTGCCTGCCAAGTGCGCACTCGGGGGCCGCTTAATCCTGCTCCCGCGGCTCCCCAAGCTGCGGCTGGACCCGGAACCACGCAGCAGTGCCCCCGCCCGCGGCCTGGGCCCACAGATAAGGCGGGCTGGCGGGTGGCGAGCTGGGGTGGCTGCGGTGAGAAAGGAGGACCAGAGATGCACTCCAGGCCTTGTGGGCCCCAGGCAGGCTTGGGCGTTTCTGGGCAGAGGGGCGGGCGATGCAGGGACCGCTTTGGGGGTCTCTGCACTCAGAAATCTGGGGAGCCTTAGGCCCACCCCTCCCCTGGGGCCTGGGCACCTCCCCCCCCCCCCCAGCCTCCAGCCTTCAGGTGCACTGCTGGGTCTGGAACCGGTTCCTCCAGGTTCCTCCAGCTGTGGTGGCTTTGGGACTGGCGGGGCGGGCTCCAGGTGCTCCCCGTCTGCAGATGGGGGTGCGGTCAGGACGCGGGCCTCACGCTCCTGAGTGGGCCAGTGACCGATGTGGTGGGAGGGCAGAGAAGCCCTGGAGCGGGGACGCGCCCAGTGCCCCCAGGTGGCTCCCCTGGGGGCGCTGCACTCCTGGGCCCCCGCCGTGCTGGCCCGCAGCCCTGGTGCACCTGGCACAGGATTCCCTGGGATTCCCCATCCTGATTTACAAGGCTCTGCCCCCCCACTCTCCCCCCCTGCGGAGTGGGGGAGGGGCTGCAGCCCCACCCCCCAGCTGCTCAGACCCCTGCTGTTGCCCTCTGGGAGGTGGAGGGGCTTTGGGGAGCAGCCGCCCCTCCCCCAGCCCTGGCCTCCCTGCACTGGCAGGTACCGACCGGAGCTTCCGGTGGTCAGGGCCGCGTCGACGCTGGCCGGGTTAAGCCGTCGCGGAGGAAAATCTGTGTCAGGCTGGGGCTGCAGGGTGGGGGGGGGCGCCTGCCTGGGGCCCACCCGGCCTCATCTCCGAGGGGCCTCCTGTGCCACGCGGGTTAGCGGCCAGCCGGGGAGAGGGTCCTGATCTGGGGGCGGGGAGGGGTCCTTGGGGCTCCCTGGGCCGGGGAAGGCCTGGGCTCTGTGGAGTCCCGGTGCAGGCTGCGCCCCTTCCCCCAAGGCCGCCCTCCTTGCGTGTGGTGGTCTTGCATGCAGACCCCCTGCGTGGCTGACACCGGTCCAGGCACTGGGGACAGAGCCGAGCTCTCGTGTGGTGTCGGGGAGGTGGCGACCCAGGGCCTGGCACGCGTGTGACAGCCTGGCGGCGTGGGGCGAGTCGGTGCCTGTGGGCAGCCCTGGGGCTCTCGGGAAAGCTCTGGGAGACCCCGGCTCCTCACACGGGATGTGGGGCCCTGGGGTGTCCAGAAGCTCCCGGGCGGCACGTCCTGGGTTGCGCTGTCTCCAGGCAGCTAGCGGCCTCCTGGCCGGCCCGCGCTCGGCTGGGTGCCAGGGCGTGGTGGCTGGCGCCCGAGCCCGCGATGCACTGGTACAGGGCCGAGTGTGGGTGCCCAGGTCCCACCAGGCTGCCCCTCGGCCGTGTCGGGCTCACTGGAGTTTGTGCCGCCCTGGGTCGGGGACCGGGCGCTCAGCCTCGGGGCAGGAAGTGGGTGAGAGAGGCGCTCCTCTGCTGGGCTGTCCTTGGGCTTCGCAGTGTGTGTGTCCCGGGCTCAGGGGACGAGGACTTGGCTCACGGAATGATGGGGCGGGGGAGCTGGGCACGTGCCGGGAGGTGGCCGATTCGCCCTGGTCTGAGTGGGGGCAGCTCTCCCCCTCCCGTCGCGTGGGGTGTTTGTGTCTGGGCATGGCACGTGGGGCTCTGAGGATAGTGAGTGTGCCCTGGTGCTGGAGCCCCCCTAGATCGGGGCGTGTTCTGGGGACACTCCGACGGCCAGTTTCCTGGGCCCAGGCGGGTCCTGCAGGGGAGCTGTCAGCGCTCAGGGTTCCCCAGGCCGGTGGACGCCTCCCCTCTGACACCGCCCCCCGTGCTGCCCCAGGGTTTAACCGTGGGCTGTGGGAGCCTGGGAAGCCGCCTGCCACTTTGAACCCTGTGAGAATGGGTCTCTGCAGAAGCCGATACGGCTTGGTAATTGAGGGCAAGTTGTGGCTGGAATGAACGCGATGAAAGTGAGGCTCGGCGGACACCTGCCACGGCGCTGGCCCTCCTTGGGAGAGGGACCCGCCCCCTCCCCGTGGAGTCCCGGGTGGAGTGGACGTGTTGCGGGTCCTGGGTTGCACAGAGTCCAGGCTCTGAGGAGCTGGGAGACCTGGTGCTGAGGTCGCTGGCCGGCCCGAGACACTAGGGAGGGGTGGGGACTGTGGCACTGCATAGGCGTGAGCAGAAAGTCTCCCGGGTGACTGCAGGGTCTCCCACGAGGGTGGCGGGGTCCCAGCACCGCGGCCAGCTTCGGCTGCTTTCCCAGGCCACAGCAGGGAGCTGGATCAGAAGTGGAGCAGCCGGAATTCACGCAGAGGTCTCCCTGGTACGCCAGGACGGTGGGGCCTGTTGTCCACTCACTGCCCGGAGGCCCTCAGTGGCCCCTGTAGGGGACTCGATCCGGGTCTCCCATGGGGGT